GCTGTCTGGTCGCAGCTTTAGCAAGAAGCTGGGAGGAAGAGAAGGGTGGAGAGAAGGAAGAAAAGTTGGGGGATCCTGTGATGTGGTGTGTGCATGTGCTGTTCTTCATTGAAAACTTGAAAAACAAGGTGCATAATGACACAGACTGGAGATTTTATCTTGTGTTTAGGATTTCTAACGTAGCTAAAACAGCAAATCTGTGAGTAAGGGTAGCTTCTCTAATGATTGATGACTTTTTTTGTCCTGCCTTCCTGCCTCATCTGCCTGCTGTGGATGGTACATACTTTACGAGGGAACAAAATCCCCACTGATAAATTAGGATGTGTTTTGCAACCTCCTCTTTGCAGCTACAGCTAACTGCTTTGATCTCAGCTGCGGACCTTTAGCCAACAACAGAATATAAATCCTCCCTACCTACGGTTTCATAATTTGAAGAAATACAGCCTGCAACTGTCTGGGTAGGAAGTGAGAGTCCTCGCTGGTACCTCTGTGCCAGGGTGCCTGGGGAAGGCACAGCAGCGTACCAGTAGCCTCTGTGCTTTTAATTACAGCTGGAGCAGCCCCACACTACCAAAATCACAGCTGGAAAAAATTAAACTGCTTTATCGTGGGTAATACAATGTGACCTACAGACGGAGGCCTGTAAGCAAACCACTCTTCTGCTCAAGAAAAGACCTTCATTGAGTATTATGCGCGTAATAAATCTTTCATTTTCTCTTAAGAAACAGTAATTACAGAAGCTTCAGCTGTGGTGGGTATCTGCTGCGGACAATAAACGTCTGTCCTTCAGCACATCATCAGCATCTCGGTGATGGATGCTCGCGTGGACTGCAGCGGAGAGATAATATAAAATGTTGTCAGCAGCCTGTACTGGCAGCCCTTGCTCTGAGCCTTGGGAGCACAGATTGGGATGGTGCTCCGTGTATCGAGGAACGCATCTTGTTTGTCACACTTCCTTTTTTTTTAACAGTTTCAGGGTATTTTTGCTGTCTGGCTGCTGGCTACTAGCAGGGAGCTCCAAGGAGATAAGCTTCACTCTTCAGCAGGTACAAAGCTGCCTCAGCACTCCCACCAAAGACGGATGACCCCTTCTGTTGCTTCGCCAGCAAAATCTGAGCAAGAAACCCCAAGGGGATCAGTGGGAGCTGTAATCCAGTTGCACCGCCTGGAACTGGGTCATGGGAAGGGGAGGCAATGGGAGCCCGGAGCAATGCGAGGTCACGATCGGCTGCCCTTTACCTTCAACTCTAACGGGCACCAACTGTCCTAAAACACTTGGGGATTGTTCCGTGTAACAGAAGAGGAGATGAAAAAGGAATTGTCTTAAATGTACATCTTCAGTAGGGCTACGGTGGGTAATAATGGGTGTGCGTGGAAGCAGCCAGGTGCCAGGGAAATCAGCCCAGTGTAGCTGTCTGTAGTCGTGGCTGAGAGCTGACCTGCTGCACGTGTTGTAGAAGGGCTTCTGGTGCTGGGTGGCTACCATCTGAACATACAGCCTTGGAGGGGTTCTTTTTATTTTTTATCACTCCCATTCATGCAGCTGGTGCTTGAACTGTGAGCTTTGTGAGGATTCTCTCTCCCAGGACACAGCAGTTCTGCCACGGCATCGCTTCACTTCCAAAAATTGTCTTGGGGGTTAGTTCCTGATAGAAACTGTTGTGATAAGCTGGTCTTGAGCAGAAACAGAAAAATAATTGCGATAAGGTCTGGACGAAAAAGGAAATGTTGCCAAAACCTCACCAAGTGCAGGTTTTAAAAATACACTTCTTCAGCATGGGTTTGTTGGCCACCAGGCTCCAGTGATGGTGGAGAACAAAGCACAAAGCACACGCACAGGGTTCTTCGGCTGTAACAGTGGATTCTTTAAAAAATATATATATTTCTGGACTCAAAATGCATCTAATCTTTACCTCCTTAACATATACCTTTGAGACAGACGTAAAAGCGGAAAGGATTGCAGAGAACTCCCTCTTTCAAGCAAGCCACTCCTGCGGATGTGCCTCCTGGGCCCAGCCGTGCCCCTGCAGGAGCCCTGCCTGGCCTGGGAGGATTGGGGGCAGCTCCAGCAACTGCTCGCTGAGCTGGACTCCACGCCTGGATTTAGCGCTGAGGAAGATAAAAGGATAAGGGGATGGAGCTAGGTGAACTTGGCAGCTATTCTTAATTCTCAGACTGGTTCTTGAGAAAGCGTTTCTTGAAAAGAATTACAGCCTCGTTTTGATGGCTGGAGATCTGAATTTCCTGACAGCTCTCACATTTTTTCCCTCCTGTCTCAGTGCTCTATAGCCCCGGGTGAGCTGGGTTGCACTGGCGAGAGGTGCCTGCAGCCTGGAGAGGTGAAAGTTGTGTCTCGCAGGAGGCTGGGGTTGATCTGATTGCGCTGTAGTCTTATTAATTACAGCACCCCTTTGATTCACTTACAAGGCAGACCGAGTTGGGGTCAGGGTATCAGGTTGTGTGCTGCCTGCCGGGGCTGCCAGCTCCTAGCACGGGCTTTTCCATGCAGGGTTCCTGTGCCTGAGACTTGAAACCATCCTGATAAACGTGTCAGGGATATGCGGGCCTCCAGCAGTGCCGCTGGGGGCTCTGCCAGGCTCTTACCTGTGGGTCTGGAGCTTTAAAAAGACCCCAGTCGGGCAAGCAGATGCTGTGCTTTGACCCTGTGCTTTCTGTTATTCACCTTGCCCTCAATGAAAGCAGCCACACCAAGAGTGTGGTGGTGTGCGGTGCCCTTCCTCTGCGCGTCTGCTGGAGCTGGAGTTGCCGAGGCACCATTTCCTCGCTGTTAGCTTAAATCCCAGGGAGAGCCGCGTTGCTCCCCGCAAATAAGTGTAAGTGACTCGCTGAGATGAGATCCTAAATAATTTACTCCTGGCGGAGCGCTCTGTGTGCTCTGCGAGGCAGGGGGAAGGAGGGAAGTGGGGCATTGCTGCACGGCGGCACGTTAAAGAACAACATCTCTGCTTCTGTGTCGGTGAGACGAACAGATCTGGCAGGTTGTCTTCATTTTTCTTCTACCTCGTGGCCAGTGACTGCTCTGCTCCGTGTCCCATTATCCAGTGTTTTTCTTCTGTCTGGAGCAGAATCTGGCCTTGCCTTTGTGGCTGGGGACAGAGGAGCTCCTGGCATTTCCTGAGCTGATTCATTTTGTGCCACGCTGATGCGTTTAGGCTGACTGGGCTGCAGTGGTTTGGTAACGAACTGGGCATCCTTCTGAAAGGGCTTTCAGTAGTGAGTCCTTGTGACTCTTTTTTTTGCCATTTAAGCAATTGAACAACAGTCTTGAGAAGCCTTTGTGGAAAACTGAGCTTTTGGGGTTTCCTTGCTGCAGGGCGTAGTCAGATAACTGAATATCAGGGCTGCCCTGATACACCGTGGCTCTGGTGCTCAACGCTTCACCCGCTAATTAACCAGCAGATCTTAACTAATCTTCGCAAGCCCCCTCCCCTTCTGAGGCAGCTCAGGGAGCGCTGCTATCCCCGGTCACAGAGGGGGAATTTGAGGTAATGAGGTTAACGGGCTGCCTGAGGCCGCGGGAAGGAGCTAATTCAGAGCGGGGCTCCCAGCCGGGCAGCTTCTGGCACACGCGTGTCAGCAGCCCTGACCCCGATGCCGGCAGCGTGCGGAAGGTGATCACAGGCTTTGATTTGCAAGAAACAGACGGACAGAAGGGACCAGGAGTGGGATAGCTGCTCTTACAGCCCCCTGAAGGAGGGAGCCATCCCTTCCTTGCCACTGGTGGTAGCAGCGGGGCCGGGCTGTACCTGTACTGCGGCAGCAGATGGAGAAGTCGTGGGCAGAAGATGAGGCTCCTAGATGGAAGAATGCCTCCTGGAATTCAGACACAGTCACTGCTATAGCAGAGCATTACAATTTGATAGCCCTTGTTTTTATTGGTTTTATTTTATTTTTGTCCTCACTGCAGTGGTTTGTGCACAGCTTTTGCTGCCCACGGCTGTGCCGCGGCAGACAGGGCAGCTCAGGGAGCTGGAGTTTGAGCTGGAGGTGCCAAGGGTGGCTTTCTGAGGGACGGCATCCAAACGGGAAGGCCAGGAGGAGGAGGAGGAGAGCCTCTCTCCTAACATATGGATTGTATGGGGCCCAAACCCACAGCTGGCAGCACCCACAGTGTGCGTGTTGGCAACCAGCGTGGCCCCAAAACGGAGAAAAATGGTTACGGGCTGAGGTTCACAGTGGGATTGCAGGTTTCGTCCCCTCCTTGCCATGCCTGGGACTGAGACCAGGCAAAGGCGGTGATGCTCGGCCCCAAACAGGCCCAAATCACCCCAAAGTGGGGTTTCCAGGTGGCATCTGCCCTGTGGGCAGTGCCTGTCCCCTCTGCCTCGCAGCAGGGCCGCGGCAGTCCGCCGGGCGTGCTGAGCACGGAGCATCTCAGCCGCTCCTTTCAGGGTTTATTATTTTTAGACAGAGCAGAATATGGGAATGTGCTGAGCCGGCTCCTGAGTCCTGCCAAAAAAAGAACATCCTTCAGGCCTCGTGTAACTTCCAGCCCTGTCTCACCGCACAAGAGATCCACCTGGAGCCGGTAAGTGCGTCGGGCACACGAGGCTCCTGTGCCACAGCCCTTGGGTATGAAAGGTATTTCAGGAGTATTAGAGGGGCTCTGTCAGAGCAAACACCAGGCTTAAAAAATAAAGCAGATGTTTTACACCCTGAAAAATGTGCAAGTCAGAGCTACTTCGCATTGTTCACGGCCAAATTCCGCCAGCTGTGTTTGCATTGGGGTGCTCAGCACTTCGCTGGGCACCGCACAAATCTGTGGATGAGCTGGCCGAGCACACAGTGTCATGCCCAAAGCAGCTCCTGGTGTTTCTGCTCGCAGTGTCCACTCGCCCCTGCAGCCCAGCAGCAGCTCGGAGCAGCGATGGCAAAGAGCTGGCTTGCTGTGAGGAATTTGAGGCTTTCCCAGGAGAGGGGCCGTGCGTGACGCACACCTCCAGCTATGCCGCTCTGTGCTCGGCTCCCACAGCCCGCAGATAAAATCCTGGCTCGGGGTAAAGACAGGCACCAGAAGCGTACCCGGGAGTTATCTCAGGTGACGGTATTGCCGTGATGAAGTACCCTACAAGGGCGTTATCACATCATTTTGCTCCGTTATGAGGCAGCGACAGAGGGCTGTGTCGGGGTGCAGCATTTTTGTACAGCACAGTGAGCTCGGTGGGAGATAATTCGTTCTTTCCCAGACTGATAAGTGGCACTGAAAGTTTTAAAGTTGTAAAATTAGGAGTAAATTTAAAATGCCTGGAATAGAGGTGGCTTTCCTGTGTAATATTTGTAGTACATAGTAAGCAAAGTACTTGGAAGCTGTGCTTGTAGCCGTGATGAGGCGTGGGCAGAAGAAAAGCCAGGTTTGGAGAGAGGGAAAGTCTCCTGCTGCAACAACTGGTAGAGCTGGGAAGGCTTTCTGGGTACTAGGGCACGCTCGGTCCTTTCCTCAGTCCTGAAAAAGATGAGGAAAATACTTGAAGCAGGGCAGAAAATGCTGCCAGCAGAGTGCTGCCTGCCTCAGATAGGCTCCGTGCCAGGGCAGCGGGGCTGTTAGGGGGAACGGATCCCCTCCTGCAGCATCCCCCGCCTCGGGGCAGGACTGAGGGATTTAATCTACCCCCATAAGGACATCAGAGGGCCTTGGGTCACCACCGAGGTCACTGGGAAGGTGTTGGTGGGTGCTGGGACAGCGTGGGGACAGTGGTGCTGGTGGCCCCGCGCTGCTCCCGCCCAGGACGACTTGCAGGTGGCCCTGGGAGGGGAGTGCTGGCTCTGTGAGCTCGGCTTTCTCCTTGGCTATCAGCGTTTCGCTTCCAGGAGGGAATGCTTTCTGCCAGAAGAATGTTCCCAGCTCTATTTTTTTTCCACTGGCTTTATGGAAACACTGCGCCTTTCTTCTCCTGGCTCCCCAGATGGTGCCTGCCCTTGCTGCACGGACTGAATTCCCACTGAGTCACCCAGCGGCTGGTCAAGCGCTCTTGGTCAGGACTGGTTTACATTAGAAAAAAAAAATGAATACACTTTCATGCAGATTAAACGTTTATTTTCCATGAAGAGGCCTGGCTTTGCTCTCACTTAGCTGCTTGGAGCACGTGCCTCTTGAACCCAGGGCACACAAGTGCCACCCCGCTGACCCCTGTCCTCGTGGGCTGGGTGCACCCAGCCTGAGCTCCCCAACCTCACTGCCCATGGCTTTTTAGTGAAATGCTTCAGGATTTGCCTTTTTACCTTTTGTTGTTGCTGAAAGGAACATTTGTGGGGTGGTTTTGGTTTTTTTCCAACCCATCTTTACTCGGTACAAGGCTGGAATTGAGCATGAAGGCCAATTTCCCAAGGAGGTGAGGCTGCTGCACCCTCCACGTCGGTGGGTGAGCCCCTCCCCTGCCCCAGGGCACAGAGATCTCCAGGCTGAGCCCAGCCAGGTGTGACAAGGAGCAGAGGTCTCAGGGTGGGTACTGCCAGCAGCTTTCCCAAAGCCAGGTAATCAGAATAAATGAGACCCTCGTTACCGTTGCTGATGAGGGAACAGCTGCAAACACTAAACTCAATTAGATTATTGAACATCAAAGAATTAATATTTATGAGTCACGGAAAATAGGTTTCATAAACCGTGCTGCTTGCCTCTCTTTACCTTTCTAATCAACAAAACAGCTCTTTTCTGAAAGGTGCTGAAAGGGCCCCGCTCGCACCACTTATTTAACGGTTTGTAGTGAGCCTTGATGGGAAAGTGACCTAGTTCAGGTCCCCAGGGGCTGCTGCAATAAAAACGGTTCTGAGCAAAATGCTCTTATCGCCATATGGCAGTTTCAGGCATTGCAGACGGACGCGGTCTGCGAGCGTTTTGTCCAGAAATGGTGAGCTTTCGCTTAAATAAATACATAGAGCAAAGCGAGAGGAGATGTTTCCATTCTTAGTGTTCTTCCCCGTGAACTGGCTGCAAAATAACTCGGTTGCTAGAGCAGGGAGGTAGCAGCGAGCTCTTCCCCGGCCGCGGTTTGTTCTGCAGCCTGCCCTGGATAATGTGCTTTGGGGAGCTGAAAGCCTCCGATGTAATAGAATCGGTTCTGCAGGTGCAGAGCACTTACTTTTTCCTTATAAGCCCAAGCCGAGATTTAATTGCTGCTCTTCAGAAGTGCAAAACAAGAGAATGTAATAATTAGAGCTGTCAGGGTGTCCTTTCTTTTATGCTGATGCTGACATTAGCGGGTTTAAAGCCTATTTTTAACCTCTGCAGCATTGAAGGCTTGGCTGTGTATTTTCAGTCTGAGTTTGTTTGTTTCGAACTTTGCAAATTGGAAGTAACCTAAACTGGAAGGGGTGAGGCTGGGCGGGGGCAAGAGGAATAACTGGATCGAAAGAGGAAGGAAGGAGGAAAAATGAAGCAAATTAAATGCAAAATATGCCCATAAATTGTTTCCACTTCACTGTGGATTTTTTTTCTTTTTATGGGCCTGCAAAATCCTCTCTAACTGGATGCTAAAAAATCTCAAGACACAGAGCACTGAGAGCCTGGTAAGATAAATATTGTGCTTAACGTAGCTTCAGAGAATGCCCTGGATGCTGCGGGCAGCAAGAGGACCATTTTTCTGCTTAAATAGCTCCAATTTTAGCAAAGTTCAGCCCGTGACCCCTCGGGGGGTTAGCCTGATGAGCCAGCATCTGTAATAGGAGTGATGGAAACAAGGTAGGATGTGCCATGCTGATTCAGCTCTTAGAAATACATGTAGTAAATGTGTCTGTGTACCAAAGGGTATCACAGATAGCCGTACGGAGGAGCTCTGTGCTTGCTCCTCTAAGGGCTGGGGTTTGGGTTTGCCGCAGAGGGAAGTTCAGGGCCCTTTGTCGCAGAACACAAGGTGGTATTTCTGGCAGGATGATTTTTTCTTTTCCAAATGTGTTTTTTTTTTTTAAAGTTTCTCGGCACGGGGCTCTGATTCTTCACTCGCCCTGCTGGTTCCTTGCGTTGTGCTGCTGTTCCTGGCCCTTTTCTTCTGCAAGTTTTTGACGGCCAAAATATGGATTTCTAATCCTAAAATTACAACCTGCCCTTTCACGGCGCTAAATCACTTAGTTAATCTCCAAATAGTTCCCCAGCTCCTTGTTAGTCACTTTGCGCGATTAAACTCTCGGCCAAACCTTTATCCAGGCATTAAAGCGTGAATATTGAATACTCCTGCTGCTCTAAGCCAGCTCTGAACCTGGGAACCCCAAGCGTGGAAGGAGCAGTGTTTTCATGAGCCTGCTGCTCTTGTCTTGTCCCTCACCTCTAACATCCCATGGCGGGGTCTTGGGTTGGTGATATCTGTGGGCTTAGGAGGGTGAAGTAGAGCAGAGTTTGCTGGATTTGGGTCTCTGACCATGTCCTAAGCCACCCCCCAAAATGTGCACTTTTACACGTGGCGATCCCAACTTTCCTCATACATGGGTGAAAATGAGACATCGGTGCTGTAAACCCGACCTGAGAGCAGAATTGGGGGCAGAAAGTTCTTCCCTTGAGGCTGGCCAAGGGGAGATCCATCATTTCTAACCATAGTTACATCAGAACCAGGCTCCCCTCAACAAACTCAGCTCCTGAGCCATCGCACGAGCTGTTTCCAGAAGCTCTTGAGATGCAGTTACTTGGTCACCGCCTTTTTTATGGAAGAGCAAACCAGGACCGTGCCATTCACCTGCCTTATATTTTTCTCCCCCAGCATTTCTGCAAGCACCAGCACTGATAAACCTGGGTTTCTTTGTCTTTATGTCCCTCGGTTGATCGAATACTCCCCTAATTAAATTCAGATTCTCTCACTGCAGTAACAAGCGAGTTCCCTGAAAAATGGGAATCTTTACATTTGGGTATATGGTGAGAGGAGGGGGTTGTGTGACACCCGTGCCGAGTACCACACACGTTATTTCATACCCAGGAGGTGTTCTCAGCCCACCTTTTTGCCCTTTATTAGGAGTGCATCTATTCTTTTACAGGACAGGATGATTTGCAGCCTTGGATTGGCCGTTTGTCCATTTGCCATTCCCTACGTTAGGCGTGCTGCCGCCTTGCTGAATCACCCCATGTTCCTGTGCATGCTTTTAGCTGCTTTTTGCTATTCTCATTTTCATTTCTTTTGTGCCCGGGTGCCACAACAGGAGAAGCAGGGGTGGGGAGAGGAGGAATTTGCTCCGTGAGGGTTTCGTGCTCTGGCCAGGGCAGCCTTGCAGAGCCCCCCGTGCCTGTCCTTGGGGCACGTCCCTCTCCTCCGTGGGACCCCACAGCCCAGCCCACGGTGCCGGCGGGGAGCTGCAGGGGGGAGGAAACGGGAAAAGCTGAGCGCAAGAAGGGGAGGAAGATGGAAAGAATGAAAATAAACAGGAGGGGGGAAACTAGGAGCAAAAAAGGGGGACGGGGCAGGAAGGCAGCAAGGAATGGGAGGAAGTGGGGGCTCGCGGGGCTTCGAGAGCCGGAGAAAAGCAGCTGTCAGTGCTACGCTGCAGGAAGCCCGAACTGGTATTTTTAGGGACTTTATATAAATAATGGGTCTGGGGGAGGAGGGAGAGGAGCGACTGCTCTTCCTACCGTCTGCTCCACGAGGCTTTGTGTCGCCTCTGGTTTTCTTCCTCCCAGCCTCGTGACGTGCTGAGCGGGGAAGAGGCACTCGCAGCCCCAGCCCCATAGTGCCAGCCGTGTGTCTCGGGGTGCCACCTGGGTGTCTTGGGGTGCCACCTGTCCCAGGGAGCCACCCTGGGCTGCTTGTGATGAGGAGGGCCCAGCCTGTCTCCTGGAGAACTGCTTTGTTCACTCACTTGTTCAACAGCAGCTCTCCAAGCCAGCAGGCTGGTGACGCGGGGCCAGGCTGGCTTTCTGCAGGAAGGTTGTGCTGTAGGTTTCTAACTCAGTGTTTGCACTTTACGAGGCACTCATCTCTCTAATAAACCAAACTTAGCTTGGTTTGCGTGGAATTGTTCAGGAAACGTGGAGCTTCCCTTGTTTGGAAGGACAAGGCTGCGTTTTTGACCTATTCGTTAAGCTTTCAGAGGGAGAAATGGTTTCGCGTTTCCTCGAAGTGGTTTCTGGCTGCCCAAGAGTTTCAGGGGAGACAAAGATCTGCTTTTGTGTTGTCACATCAGGTGTCTTTCATTCCTGCTTCCTGACGTGGTGTGCAGCAGAACTGGGACACGTTTACATTAACGCACAGCGCTGTGCTTTGCTGATGCTTTGTTGAGGCAGGTTTTAGAGGCACTTACTGAAGGCTCTTCCCCTGTCCCCATCTGCACGTGACACAGGCCTGTGAGGGTGACCCTCATTTATCATCAGCGTAAGCCTTTTCGGGAGGGCCGGGCCCAGCATTTCAGAACAGCTGAGAACCACACGAGGCTGCTGCATGCCCCAGGCACGGGTAAGGAGCTCTCCCCAGGCTGCAGATGCTGCTGCAAGCTCCTGCTCCCACCAACTCTCCTCCACGACCACAAAACCCACCTCCCCGTCAGCCTTTCCTGCGGGAGGCAGCCTGGCTTGGCTCAGGGGAGCTCAGCAGCAGTGACTGATCTCTCCAGGCAGCTCTGCAGCGACACGGAGGCGCTTTGTTCCCCCTCTATTGCCATTTATCTGCAGGGATTTGTTTGCTGCATCCCATGCCTGGTCTGTCCACGTTTCTGCTTTGAGATCCTGGAGGGACCAGGGAAGACACTGCAGCAGTTTTGGGGAGTGCGTGCAGGGCAGACAGCAGCTCAATTATTGCTATCTCTACTTCTTGATCCGAAAGATACCGGGAGCCGCAGCCTTCAGGGAATTCTTCAGCTCATCTCTGACTGCAGGAATTTGGGAACCTGGAGGAGGGAAACAAAATGTGAAGAGCTTAAAAAAGAAAAGAAGAGAAAAAAGAGAGAGACTTGCAGCACCTGTACCTGAGCCAATTCAGAGATTGGCGTGTCAGAAGTTTTGATGAGGGCTCATTCTTTTGTCTGGCATTGCTCATGTGCCTCCTTTGTTCGAAGTGCCGGCGCTCACAGCTTGTAGGCAGCGCGATGAGCTGGGACTCCTGCATCATCTCCTCTGCTGCCGGCACTGCCAGGGGCTGCACTGCTCAGCCACATCGCTGCTGAGAGTGTTAACCACAGCGATGCCCGTGTCGTTAGGTAGCCTGGAAGGGTTTGTGGTGGCCTTGTGGTGGGCCGGAGTTTCACCCGGGTCAGCCTGCCCGAAAGGCACCCCGACGTCTGTCCTGGGGGAGCCTTGAAAGCCGGATCCTATAGGAACGGTGATGGTGGCACAGCCCTCTGCGGGTCAGGATGCTGTCAGGGTACCCACAAAGTGGCCCCGAGTTTGCTGTGGTGTTAATCTAGCCCATTTGCTGTTGTCTCCACTTGGCAGAGAAGTCTCCCTCCTGGTTTCTGCTTTTTTAAGGATGATCCACTGTGCTTTGCATGTTAAAAATGCATGTTCCTATTCATTATGAACTCCTCTTCGGGGTGCAAAAGTGGAGTCTTGTAGAGGAGCTGCTGTGTTCAGCAGCAGTTTGTGCTCGTCTCTGTGCTCCGTGCTGGGGAGCTTCTGAAACAGCTTCTGCCAGCAGAAACTGGGGTCCTGCAAGAAGGGGGGGCAGGAGCAGGGCTTGAAGAGTCACCCTTCACGTGGGTGTGGAGCCAAACTTCCTCGAGACCCAGGAGCATCAGAAGGCAGAGGCCAGATTTGGGGCCAGCCCCGTTATTGTAGCAGCCACAAGAAGCTGCTCGCTGTTCGGCACGAAGGGTTGGGCTGTCCCTCTGCATTCCCCATCTCTGTGCCTTCAGCTCTGCTTTTCCAACCCATTTTGCAGGCGGAG